GGAATCTCTCCGGCCTTTGAAATCATACTTCCCCTTTGCAAACTCATTTCCTAGGTCTTTCAGTCCTAGGAAATGACTGATTAGAATCCTGGTCCCCACCCATCTCAGCTTCCTCGAGTCCTAGATGGTCCAGAAAACTGATTGCCTCCAATGTGCTGTTTACTCCATTTTACAGACCCCATTTCTTTCCTTGTGCTCTTTCATTTGACTTTACCCTCTTCCATGTCTCCCTGCTCCCTCATAGCCAGAGTATCCTGAATAACCCCCTACCATTCCCCCAATCTCTACCATTGGACACTAGCTCTGCACTGCTCACTTGAGCTTGAATCTGTGCTCATGACCCCCTGACAGTCTCACAGGGGATAGAACAGATGCCCAGAAATGAGTGAAGACTGGAATGATGACCACCGAGAGGATTTATTTTGAGGCTGAGTTCTTGGGCTCCAGCCTCATTTCCCTTCTCTGTAGTCATGGAGCTTTGCTAACACTGAAACTAGAGAGCAGGTTAACGGATCCCAAAGGACTTCAGGGAGAGAGCATCAGAGTTCCAGGCTCTGACCAGTACTTTACCAAGGCCATTGCAGAGGAACCTGTCATTTACCTAGCTTGTCAGGAGCCACATTTAAAAATTTACAATTCTTTCTGTCTCCTGAAGACATCTGTCTCCCTGAAACCTCTGTTCTGTGCCAAGTTTTCTCCCTCTCATAAGAACTGGCTATGTATATCACATTCTCCTCACACTTTGAACAGTACCTACGCAACGTTCTCTATGGCCCCTTCATGGGATACCAGAGTTTCATTTCCCAGTGCCCAGAAATTACCTTCTTCTCATTACTGCCAACAGGAACATAGACACACGTCCTGGATATAGACGCAGCGTTCATAACATTTAAGGCAGACATTGGAGGCAAAGCAGACTATCTTGGGCTTCCTTACAGCCCACAGTGTATCCATGAGTTCCGGGCCAAGTTGAGTAAATCTTTCTACCAGAAAACCACCCATGACATCATAACACTCGAAAGGGGCAGGGTACAGCTCCAAGGACAGCTGGCTCAGACTGGCTGTGTGCTGCAGCAGGTTCTTCAGGACAGATGTGGAGATGTAGTTTCCATAGAAATTGACCTTGGTGAGCTGGGAGCATTGGCTTAGGGCAGGCAAGAGGGCCTTGATCTGGGAGTCCTCCATCCTACAGTCATCTAATTCCAGGGTCTGCAGAGTGGCTGAGACTCTTTCTAGTAGAACTTTAAGGGGCCTGGCACATAAATGGAAAATTTTGGAACCACTCAAGTTCAGGTGCTTGAGCTGATAGATGCTTGGGTACTTGGACAGACAATTCAAGTCTGACTGTGAAAGATGGCAGTGAGTGATTGCGAGGGTCTCCAAGGAACTCCTCAAGGACCTAGGGAGAGACAAAGCAGTTTAGCTCAGGACAGTGGAGACTGGGATACGACCTCAAGATAGATGAGAACAGTTTGGGCCAAGGTCATTCTGATACCCAGATACTCCCTAAGGGAGAGTCTGTTTAATCAGACTATCTCAGTCTAGGCTGAGGTCTTTTACTATTGCTGTTAGATGGGATCAGTTCCCATCCACAGGGTTAGGCAGACAAGGTCAGCTGGAAAACCACAGAAGATCCAACTCACCAGCTATCTAGCAATATTCCTAGGTGTGTCAACAATGGGGCTCACTGACCCCTGCTTGCTCTTCACCGCCTCTTAGTGCTTTCCCTTGTCCCCTACCCTCCATCCCAGTGTCGTACATTTCCCATCCACTCAACCCCTATCTGTGCTCAAAACAATCTTTCCCAGAAGAGGAATCAGTCAGGCTGGTGATCATTCACAGCTGCTGAGCATGAGCTTACTTGGGGAACTGTGCAGGTGTAAGTCCTTCCCTCCTTTAGTGTAGCCTCTTTCTAGTTCCTTCCCCTTAGCTTAGACAGGCTTCCCAAGGGGGAAAATCACAACCCATCCTTAGATCTGTTTGACCCACAGCTGGCCCCCTAGCACAGAGACCAGCTTCCAAAAAGTGTTCCCCTGAATTACCTGAGGTGACACCCCAGGAAGACAGAGTAGAAATAAGACACTGCTTTGATATTCTAATGCCCTCTCACTTTTAAATTCACAGTGGCTGGGAACCCTTAACAATTAATGTAACCAAGAAAGTCTTGGCTCTGGGCTTCAGAGAAAGCTCGCTATCTTTGCTTACCTGAGTACTTGGTCCAGGGAGACCTTGAAGAAATGTACTTCCTTCAAACAGAGATGTTGGAGTGAGCTGAACTTCGGTAACTGAGAAATGACTGTGGTAACAATCCTCTCCTCCAGTGCTGTGTACATGCATTCAATTAACTCTACACCCTCATTGGTTCTACTGCGGTTTCTCATGTATTCAGTGTCAGGGGTAAACAATGTCAGGGGCAGGGACCGCAGCCTCCATAATGTACTTACTTCTAACTCCTGAATATAACCTGGCTCAAGACTTTTCAGGAGCCTTAAGACACTACAGACAGGCTTTTCCCAAATCTGCAGCTTCTGACAGCACAGCTGTAGCAAACTTTTTCTCTGCTCAGCCCACTGGAAGAAATATTTTTGGTATTCATCCAGATCAGGGCACTTGAGGCAAAAGTCAACTAAGACCTTCAAAGGCTGCTTCTTCCCCCCAGGAACTGCTCGGTCCTCCACTGTTGGCGTTTTACTAATGACCCGGGGATAGCAGTTGCCTTTCGTTGTTCCAACCCATATGTTCCAGAAGTTCCGGTGCTTATTGAGCAACTCAAGCACCTGCAGTTTGCACCTCCTGTGGATAAAACAGGTAGAAGTCTCAGCAGACAGGACAAGACCTGATAACATAGTCTACTGTTACTCCACTTCTCAAATGGCAGCTGTATTTTACACACTCTATGTCATGTAAATTTCCTGTCTTATTTTCAGAGCTGAGGATCAAACCCAGGGCCTTATGCACTTTAGGAAGGGCTCAGGCCTGAGCTACATTTGTAGACTTCTATCTCATTCCCCTCCATTCCATTCCCCTTGAACACCTCCTGGTCCCTCTGTTAGTACCAGTGGGAGGAGTCCTGGACAGGCTCAATCTACTTAGGCTGCATCTGCTCTAAGCTGTTTTCCACACCTGATTGTCCTTTCTCAGATGACTCAGCAATGGCTATGGCCTCTGAAGTCCCCCAAGCCAGCACCATCAGAAGCCTCTGATCCACCTTGGACCCCACTCTCCCTGACTCAAGGCGTTCCCCTACCCTCAGATCCTCCCTTCATACTACCTGGGTCTCTTACCTGGGCTTCTCCTTCTGTGCAATCAGCATATCCACCCCATCCAGCACAGCCTGAAGGATCTCTAGGTCTGGAGTCTTCATCAGGGACCCCAAAGGAAGACAGGGGAAGGGCCAAGCCTGAACCACTGCCCTCAGGATGTTAGTTTGCTTGCTGGTGAAGGCCTTTTTGAAAAGTGGTGGGAAGAGCTCCTTGGGCAGGTACTCCAGAAAAGAGAATGTTAAGGCCTCATTCCTCAGCAGTATCTGCAATACCACGTCCAAGAGTGTGGGCGGGGCCTGGATGCTCATCTTGGTGGATCTTTAGGCAGTAGGATTCTGGAGAAGCAAACGGGAAAAGTCAGCCTTTCAGGCTAAGATTTAGGAAGCCCTCTCCCTCAGCACAGGAACGAACTCAGGGACAGAGTTGCTGTTCTGACAATGACTGACCACAGTTGATCCATTTGACTCAAAATCTGATGGTCTCAAAGCCACAGCTCCTTCACTGGCAGCATGGTGGCTTCTTACAATCACCACCTGATTGAACACCACAATTATTCCACCCCATTATGATCCCTGCTCCTCTGAATCCTAGTCCACTGAGAAATGAGTGCACAGGTGACTGAACGCTGAGCCCCATCCTTTCATGATGAACCACCTCTCATGGACCTCAAAGGAATGCAAAAGAAGGGTTACCTGTCAAACTTACCCACATTCTTTGTTCAATTAATGTGACCTGACTGGGAACAACTGAGAATCTGAAGTTGGGTCAGTTACTTTCATTTTTTTAAGCTTTGGAATATGGAGTTTCCCTGTTTAGCTCTATCCCTGTATTTGGAGGCAGAGGATTGTAAATTGCATGGCAGCCTGGGAATATAGCAAGACTGTCTGACACATTACATGAACGTTTTACATTTATTGTGTGTGTTTAGATTTAATGTAACAAAGAAAGACTTTAAACTTGTACAAACTATACTTGCTTGACAAGGCATGGACATGAAGATCAGAGGACAGTTGTAGGAGTCAGTTTTCTTTCAACCCTGTGTGTCCTTGGAATCAAATTGAGGTTATCAGCCTTAGTGGCAAGTACTGAGCCCTATTTCTGTCCCCCAAATTAGAAGCTTTAAAAAGAAATCGTGAAAGGCATGTATAACTTTGTTATGGAGCATCTGGAGGAATTTTGAGGAATTTGTTTTTTTTTCTTGTTTTTAAACAGTTCTTACCACATAGCTCTGGTATGTCCGACACATTGGGGAACTTTCTCATGTCGCACTGGAGTCTTAGGGAAAAATATAGGTGAGAAAACAAACTCCAGTATTATTTTTTTGTGCTATTTTTGGTCTTATTCATTTTATTTTTCAGAGACAGTATTTCTCTGTAACCCCAAGTGGCCTAGAACTCACTATAGACCAGGCTGGCATTAGTTTTAAGTATTTTGATGTAGGAAGCATAGTGTTGCTTATGGCCCAAGAGTGGAATGGTTATGGAACCTGTGCTGGTCTTAAACTCAAAACCTTCTTGCCTCCTCCCCACCACCGAATATTGTTGGGATTGAGTTTTGAGCTAGCTTGCCTGGCTAGAGAACTGTACTTTAAAACCTCTGCATATGGTGCTTGAAAAGATGGCTCAGTGGTTAAGAACAATTGCTGCTCTCACATAGGACCTGGGTTTTGTGCCCAGAACCCCCATGTAGGCTTACAACCATGTGTTTCAGGAGATCTGATATGACCTTCTGGCCTCTGTGGTGCATATACATACATGCAGGCAAATACACATATAAAAATAAATAGCTCTTCCTTTATATATAACAAACCTGCACAGACCTTCATCACTTGCTTAGGCTTTCTCATTTTTTTCTATTTTGGAAAATATCTCCATTCCCACAAGCAAGGAATGGCCAGTACCCAGGCTAGGAGGAGAGACAGGTGGGGCAGGTGGGAGGGTGAATGAGGCTTAAGAGACATAATAGCATTAACAAATTTTCTATCTGTTGTGAGAATTCTTTTCCTGGGGATACTAAGAAATGCTTATTCCCTTTTAAAGTTCTAGTGTCAAACCAATGTTTGATTAAAGTTTTACTGGAGAACCAATGAATTTTGAGCTTACTTACCAAGATACCTGAGAAGTTGCTGAAGTTTATGAATGACCTGAGGGTGTATGCTCACTGGAAAGTCTTTACCCAGCATGGGTCAAGTTTTCTCTTCCTAACCTTCCCCAGATTGTATACTTTAGCTCTCACCCTGCATCCCTGTTCAGCATGGAAGAAGCCAGAGTGATCTGCATCCTGATTCCCTATCTGAAAGCTGGGTAACCTCTTCAGAGGATGGTGTGATAAGACTAGGAGGTAGGAATTGACTAGTCAGTTAGTGTAAAAAGACACCAAAGAAAAGTTGCCAGCTTCTTGGCTAAAAGTCAAAATGTCCTTGGGCCTCTTAGCAACATACTCTGTTCCAAAGGCCAAAAATGTTGAAAGATTTTTAGGGTTACCTCTTCAGAGAGGGGAATGTTACAATAGCAAAAAGCCCCATTAAAAAAAAAGAATACATAAAGTTGTTCAGGAAAAAGTGATGGGGAGATATGGGAGGAATTGGAGGGGAGGGAGTGGGTGTGGATTTGATCAAAACACACCTTATATGCTTATATCCCTGTATGAAATGCTCAATAAATTATTGAAAAAAATAGCCCTTTGAAAAGGTTTCATAGGTGCTAGGTGTTGTAGTGCAGGCACTGGAAAGGGAGGGGGAGTGAGGAAAGATTTTAAAGTTAGTACTTTTCTTTTAGAATAAAAACCTATTAATTTTCCTGCCAAAAAGGCAATGTACTTTTTTGCTAAAGTACAAACTGCCTTGCCTGGTTACTTTTGTTTGTCCCTGTGTTTTGTGTGTCATAGTAGTGTGATCCTTGGACCTCAGATTTTACTAAAAGTCCTGGGGTTTGAACCCAGGACCTGGCCCATTCTAGACAAAAGCTCTAACATTGAGCTACATTCCAAGCTCTTGTACTGTATTTTATTTAGGTCTCCCTACCCAGGATAGCCTTCAACTGCCATCCTCCTGCCTCAACTCAACCTACTGAGACTCCAGGTATAAGCGACCACCAGACTTACTAGTTTTTATTTTCGTTTGTTACAGGGTTTACCAAGTAGCCCAGGATGACCTAATTTGCAGTCCAGCTGTCTCAATTCCCAGATTAGTTGAGATTATTGGCATGTGTTATCAAACTCAGTTCCCAATACTGTTTTTAAATCCAGTTAAAGGTAAATTTTAATAGATACAAAAGACAGTAGTCCCACACCTACCATTCAAGGGACTACAAACCAATGAAATTATCAAGAAAGCACCCCCCCCCAAAAAAAAAATGAAAGAAAAAAAAAGCCCAAAACAAAAACAAATTCCTTCAGACATGGTGGCTCAGGCCATTTAACTCCAGCATTAACTGGTGATACCTAAGAACCTATCTCAAAACAGATTCTCAATTAAAAAAACAAAGTAAATTCCAATCCAACAGGATTTCCTCATTTAACACAAAAAAGAAAGTCAGGCATGGTGATAAACGCCTTTAATCCCAAAAGAGGCAGTTGATCTTGGTGAGTTCCAGGCTAGCTGGGATTAAGGGAAGGCTGTCCCTGCCTCAAAAAAACAAAACAAGCCGGGCATGGTGGTATATGTCTTTAATTTCAGTACAGGGGAGGCAGAGGCAGGCAGATCTCTGTGAGTTCCAGGCCAGCCTGTTCTACATAAGAAGTTCCAGGCCAGCTGGGGCTACAGGGAGACCTTGTCTCAAAAAGACTAAAAACAAAGAAAAAAAATTAACATCAAAAAAGAAAAACTACCTCTTTAAAAATTTTTAGTTAGGCTAGGGCTTGAGAGATGGCTGGGCAGGTAAGATCTCCTACTGCTCTTTTCTGCACCCACACCCAGCACCTTACAGCTACCCTTTTCTAGCCTCTGGGCACCAATACACAGGTGGCATACTCATAAATTAAAACCTACTCATTAAAACAGACATACCCATAAATTAATGCAAAACCAAATAAGCGCACACACACACAAACCCAGAGATAGTAAAATAACATGAACAAAGCGAAATTCAAGATCTTTGAGTAGCTCAGTGTGGAAGTGCAGTAATTAGAAGGCTGAGTGAGGCGTGGCATGGTGACACATGCTTGTGAATCCAGCTCTCAGGAAACACAGGCAGAAGAATTGTAAATTCTAGAAAGCCCAAATTACGTGGCTTGTTTCAGGCCAGCTCAGGCAACACAGCAAAACTTGGCTCAAACAACAACAATAAAAAACCAACCTAAAATAAAAAAAGAAAAAAAGAAAAGAAAAACCACAAATTAAATGAAAAGCAGAATTTGAAAAGAAGGCAAAGTTGCATTTTGAGTCTAAACCAGTCTTCAATCTGCTCATTTGAAGAGACAGAAAGCAGAATTTCCTGTGCCATCTAGGGTCTTCGGTCCCCAGTGCAGGCTTGCTAGTCTGGGTGAGATGGAATGTCCCAGTGGCTATGAGAGACTTACCAGGAGTGGACACTGATGATGGGGCTCTGAATCCCAGCAGAGCAGGCTGAGCAGTGCCTCTAGGCTGCAGGACTGTGAGACTCTTCTGTCTTCTGGGAAGTTTTATCAGACCATCTATAGACCCCTCCCTTTTGCAGCCTTGGCTCCCAACCACAAGATACCATCTGATTGGACAATTGAGTCTCCACCCCACTAATCTTATTTGGGATTTGGGTATGTATCCAGATTGATCCAACCCTTTGAAGGAAAGGGAATGCACTAAATTTAGGGTCAAGGTCAAGGGCCCCCTCATGGATTCACTCCAAAACTGAGATTTAGTTCCCTCTCTCTCTCCTTCCCTTCCTTCCTTCCTTTCTTTTTTCTTTCACATTATTTATTCTGTAAACGAAGGGGGCACGGGAGCAGGGGGCTGAGGCATGCCTGTGCCATGCTATGTTTGTGGAAATCAGAGGACAATTTGCAGGAGTCAGTTCTCTTCTTCCACCATGTGGATTCCTGGGATTAAATTCAGTTTGCCAGGCTTGGTGGCTAGTGCCCTAACTTAATGTGCAGTTTTGATTTCCTTGTTTCTTTTCTTTTTATTTTTTTTCTTATTTCTTTCTGTATTTATTTATTCAAAGAACATTTGAGAAAAGACTTGCTTTGAAGACCAGATTAGGCTGGAACTCAGTAGATAGCCCAATCTGATCCAGAACTCACCATGATTTCTCTGATTCAGGATTCCAAGGGCTGGGATTACAGGAGCCTCAAAGTCCAGTTTATGAATTTTCTTAAAAACAGGGTCTCGGGGCTCAGCGGTTAAGAGCACTGACTGCTCTTACACAGGACCCAGGGTGGATTCCCAGCATCCACATGGCAGTTAGCAACCCTCTGTGACTCCAGTTCCAGAGGATCCGATGCCCTCTTCTGACCTCCATGGGCATTGCACAACACGGGTGCACTTACATACATGCAGGCAATACATTCATACACATAAATAAACAAAACAAAACCCCCCAAAACAGGGTCTCCTGGAACTCATTATATAGCCCAGGCTGGGCTCCAAAGCCAGAGGGTAGCTTGATATCCCCTCTTGGGGTTAGGCTGCCCAAGTTTGGAAACCACGCAGAGTGAGAACTGTGGCAGCCTGGGGTGTAAGAGAGCCAGCAGCAAGGAGAAGGACTGTGTCCTGACTCCTTGGTGTCAGCCACCCACAGCCTTTCCTTTTCTGTCATGGTTCTTCTTGCTCCCCCTACTCCCTTTTATTTTTTTACCTGGTAACCTTGAGCTCAGGTCAATATCCTCAGTCAATGTTCATGGAGTGGGTCAGTAAATGAGTTCCTGGCTTTGTGTCATCCCTGATTCCTGCCACTTCAGAATGGCACATTTGAGATACTCACTTCCCTGTACCAACCAGAACACCACCAGGATGAGCTGATTGGGTTTTTTTTTTTTAATTACATTTTAGTTATTTACAGATGAGAGAGAGAGAGAGAGAGAGAGAGAGAGAGAGAGAGAGAGAGAGTTTGCGTGTCACAGTAGAGAAATGGAGGCGCTGATTCTTTTCCTTTACTTCGTGAATCCCAGAGATTGAATTCAGGATGGCAGACTTAGCAGGAAGGGCCACCCTGGGTGAGATTCAAATCTAAATCTCATAGGGAGTGGTCAACTACTGACTGAAAAGGGGAGGTATGATACTAAAAGTCCTTAAAATCTTGAGTGGAGGGTAGGTTTGGTGGCACACTCCAGTAACTCAGTTGGATATAGAGGCTGGGGGATCGGAAGTACAAGGTTAGTCTAATTTATAGGCAGTTGGAAGCCAGGCTAGCATATAACAGAGCCTGTCTCCACAAGAATACCAAAACTTTAGATGAGACAATGGAAGGCACTAGGACCCTGGAAGCAAGAGACACTGCCTGAGCTCTTATAGGTCTGAGAGCTATGCCAAAGCTGGTCCACATCTGGTCAGTCAATGATCCCATGAGGACACCACCCAATCCAACCTCAGGTATTCTCCAAGGGTGGCATGCAGCTCAAGTGGCACACAGAATATTCCTGATTGACTCATCAGGTGAACACATTCAAGATTCTGGTTTTGAATCATCTTAGTGGTGAGCACTAGGGAGTCTGAGGCAGGAGGATTGCAAATTAGGCCATCCTGGTCTACTGACTGAGTTCATGGTCAGACTAGGCGGCAGTCAAAAACCCTCCCTCAAAAACCAGAAACAAAGGTTGGCATGGTAGTACAAACCTATAATCCCAACATTCTAGAGTCTGAGTAAGGTGGATATAACATTTATCAGCCAGCCTAGGATAAACAGTGAGTTTCAGGCTGGCTAGGGCTATAGAATAAGATCTTGTCTCCAAAAACCATAATGCCTAAATTAAGTAATTAATTGAATTGAATTGGAGACCTAGCTCAGTGCAAGGCTGGCATGTGTGAGGCCCTGGCCTCAATCTCCAGCAGCACACACTGAAAAGAACGCATGTAGTTTTATATATATATATTGATTCAGCTCAGTAGTTGAGCACTTTCCTACCTTGCCTCTGGCTCCTTGGCTTGATCTCCAGCACCATGGATAAGTGAAATCATATATGTGATTTATAAACATAAAGTAGATATAGAAATATAAGAAATCAAGTAGAGAAATCAACTGGAGACATGGCTTAGCAGTTAGGAGTGCTTACTGCTCTGACAGATGACCTGTGTTTGGTTGCCAACACTTTCATGGAGGCTCACATCCACATGTATCTCTAGTTCCAGGGGAGCCAATGCCCTCTTCTGACCTCTGTGAGCTTCTGCATGCATGTGGTACACATATATACACTCAGGCACATAACATAAATAATTATTTTTAAAATAAGTACCAGTATCTTTTAAATTATTTTATTTTATTTTTTAAATGTTTATTATTTTTATTTTATGTGTATGAGTGTCATGCCTACATGTAGGTAAGTGCACCCGTGTTGTGCAGTGCCCTCGGAGGACAGAAGAGGCTGTCGGATCCCCTGGAACTGGAGTTTCAGACAGCTGTTAGCTGCCATGTGGGTGCTGGGGTTTGAACCTGGGTCTTCTGCAAGAACAGTCAGTGCTCTTAACCACTGAGCCATCTCTCCAGCTTTTTTTATTTTATTTTTACATATATGAATGCTTTTACTGCATGTATATAAGTGCATCGTGTATGTGCCAAAGCTTGAGGATGTTTGAAGAAGGTGTTGGATCCCCTGAAGTGGAGATACAAATAGGTGTTAGCCACCATGTAGGTGCTGGGACCGAACCCAAGTCCTGTGTAAGAGCAGTCGGTGCTCTTATGGTCTGAGTCATCTCTCTAGCCCATAAATAAATATTAAAAAGAAATCAGGTGTCTATTTTGCACAAACAAAATACTGCTTATGCACATCTTTGTTAATGCTTAAATGTATATCTATCTATATATCTCTTCATATATATTAGATATGATTTTGCTATACAGACCTTTCTGGTCTCATACTTGTAACGAGCCTCCTGCTTCTGCTCTAAGTACTGGGATCACAGATGTGGCTGCCACACTAGCATTTGCTTAGTTTGTAGAGACAGAGTCTCACTATGTAGCTCACACTGTCCTTGAACTACATTACAGAGACTGGACCCAAACTTGCCAAACCACCCCCAGTATCCATTACCTGAATGGAGGGATTATAGGCGTATGATACCATGACTTGGTTTCAAAAGTAGTTCTTCTTCTGATTTTGTTTTGATTTTGTTTTTTTGAGACAGAATCTCTTATAGCCATGCTGGCTGAAACTCACAATAGCCAAGGATACCACTGAAGTCCTGATCTTTCTAGGTCTACCTACCTCCATAGTTCTGGTATGACAGGCCTGTGCTACAATGCCTATATCAAACAGAATTTTTGTAAATAAACACTGTGTATGTACAATTAATTATATAGTTAGATTAAAAATATTTTTATGCTGGGTGTGGTGGGGCACACCTTTGATCCCAGCACTCAGGAGGCAAAGGCAGGTGGATCTCTGTGAGTTCAAGACCAGCCTTGTCTACATAGTTGAGTTCCAGGCTGGGGCTATAGGGAGACCCTGTCTCAAAAAGACCATATATATGGTTATTTTATTTATTCTTTTCAAAAATAGTTCTAGGGACTGAATCCAGGCCTGTAACATGCTACACAAGTTCTCTACCACTGAGCTATTTCCAGACTCAGATTTATTTATTTATTAGTTATTTATATGTTTTTTGGTATGTGTTTGTACCTGTGCATGTGTGTATATACGGGTGCCTCCCTAGTGCTGGGTCTAAAGGCGTGCACCATCGTCTTTGGCCCCCAGTTTAATGTATGCCATGTGATAAGCAACTGTAGGTCCAGGTACCTTGTAAGAGAGAACCAATTGATTTCATAAGCTGTGGATCATCAATTGATTTAATAAGCTGTGGGCAATATCCAGAGACCTTATTTCAAAAGTAAAATACACCAAGCCAGGTGAGTGGCACATACCTTTAATTTCAGCACTCAGGAGGCAGAGGCAGAGGCAGAGGCAGAAGGATAGCTGTGCTGTGAAGGCTAGCCTAGTCTACATAGCAGGTTCCAAGCCAGCTTGGGCTACAGGGAGGTCCTTTCTCAAAAATAAATAAATAAGAAAGAGGGAAAGAAAGAAAGAAAGAAAGAAAGAAAGAAAGAAAGAAAGAAAGAAAGAAAGAAAGAAAGGAAAAATAAGTAGTGAGGTGGCTTACTACAGAAATCCTTGAAGGAAGAAGGCTAAGGCAGGAGGATTGCTGAGATTTGTGGTTTCAAATCTAATTTAGTAAGACCCTGTCACAAAAACTGAAAACACAAAACTAAGTACTTAAATTAATAAATGATGGCAGGATTTGGTGGCACATGCTTTTAATCCCAGTACTCAGGGGGTAGAGGCAGGTGGATTGCCATGAGATGGAGGCCAGCCTGGTCTACATAGTAAATTCCAGACCAGCTGGGACTACTGGAAGACTTTGTCTCAAAAAGACCCAAAACAGCCGAGTGTGGTGTATACATGACTATCACTGTATTTATTTTTTATCACAGAACTCTGACTCAATCATTTACAGAAAGAAAAATCCCAAATTAGGTTAACTGGGTGGAGCCTCAGACATCCAATCAAATGGCAGATTTCGTTGGGAGGTGGAGCACTGTTGGGTCCAGGCCAGCTGGGGCTACAGGAAGACCCTGTCTCAAAAAGACCAAAACCACACAAACAAAAATAAATAAGTAAATAAATACATAAATGAAACTTTTAGATTAAATCCATAAATGGGCTTTTGGCTTTCACTCTAGTCGCCAGTACCTAATCTGCTAAGTCAGGAGGAATGTGTTTATAATTTAGGGAAGATGGTTAAATGGTGGAGTTCACAACAAGTATTTGACCGCTCCTTGATCCTCAGATACAGGTGGGAAAAACAGCTGTTCAAGCTAATTGAGTTAAGCAAACGGCGGCTGGCGCTGATGTTCTACTGTATAAAAAGGCTGAGCTAAAATAAACCGGGGCTGCAGTCTCTACTGACAGTCCTCCCAAGTATCTTTTTTGTTTCTTGTTTTTCCTTTCAATCCTCACTCCCCCTTTCAGGTACTGTCCATCTTGGCCGGCTGTTACCGGCAGGGCACAAAGGGGACATGTGAGCAGAAAAGTGGATAAAAGCCTCAGAGAAGTCCTGGTGCCACTGCCTGGCCCTGCTGGGATTTTGAGAGCTGTCCTCCCTGCCCAGGACTGGTCAATAATTCACCTCCACAGGACACACCATCTAATTCAGGTACATTGGGCTCACAAAGCACTGGAAATTCTGATCTCTGTCTCAGATGAACAAATTGAGGCCACTGGTTTTGACTGTGAATACAGTTTGGAATTAATCTTCAGTAATAAGCAATGCAATAAGCAATGACACGCATTTCTTAGTTTCCCTCAGTCTTTCCCAGGCAGGTTCAATCCACAGAAAGGAGAATATGGGTAGGTTGGACATGTGAAAATTTCCATTGCTCGTTTTTGAAGGATTTGAAATCTGATCCATATCCTTTGCTATAAAAGGATGGGGCTCAGGTTTAGACTCCTGGGGATTCCTTTCCAGTGGGAATGGGAAGGAGAAGAGCAGAGATTGGAAAAAGAGGGGAAAATGGTGAACATTTGTCTCAGTGGAGTCCTAAGACAGGCTCCCCGTGTTTCCAGGGAGGTGAGCAATGGCTTTGAGAGCGGCAAGTGAGGAGAACAGGGCAAAGCGAGCTCTCCACCATTGCTGGGCAACGACTCTGCCCTGGCTTCATTTCTGTGGTGGGTGAGAAGACAGGTTCTAACGAGTAGCCTGAAGGGGGAGGGGGGGTCCAAATTTGATTAAGAACTGTTTATAAAATGTACAACAGCTCGATAAAATTTTTAAAAAAATGTAGCCTGGAAATATATTCTTCCCTGAATCTTTCCACAGGTTCTTTTTAAGAGAAGAGATCCACCAAGATGAGCTTCCAGGCCCTCAAACTGGTGGAGCTGGCAAGGCAGAGTCTGCTGAGTGATGAGGCCGTGGCCATCTCTGCTCTTCAGTACCTTCCAGAGGAGCTGATCCCTCCTTTGTTTATGGAGGCCTTCACTGGCAGGCACCTGAAAGTCCTGAGGGAGATGGTGGCAGCCTGGCCCTACCCCTGCCTCCCTGTGGGGGCCCTGATGGAGACACCTCACCTGGAGACCTTGAAGGCTGTGTTGGATGGAGTAGATAAGCTGTTGACACACAAGGTTCACCCAAGGTAAGCAAGGACCAAGTAGTATAGAATGGAGGATGCGGGGGTGCAGGGAAGGGACACTGTGGTTGGGGAGAAGGGGCTCAATGGTGGAGCAGAGATTTCCGGTGGCATCATCTTGGAGCATTGCAGAAGCTTTGACCCATGTCGAGATCTAATGGGAAATCACAGTCCTATGTGGAGGACAGATTCAGAAGATGTAGCCTCAGTGGAATGAGCCTGTCCGTGCCTCTCCCACAGGGGGTAAGTGGGACCAAGAAGAGGTCAAGAGGAAAGTAAGGCAAGGTCTAAATTATATATATGTGTATATATATATATATATAGAGAGAGTATATATGAGAGAGAGAGAGAGAGAGAGAGATGCAGCTCAAGCAACAAGCCGTTCCCTAGCGTGCATGAGGTCAACATTGAAAAACGTAAAAAATTTTAATACAGCAAAGCAGGGAAAGCTGACATTTGAGATGGAGAATAAATAAAAACAGGCTACATGTTGGGTCTTGTCTTGTCCTGAGACTTCCTTGTTTTACCCACAGGAGCCGGAAACTTCAAGTACTTGATTTGCGGACTGTGCAGCACAGCTTCTGGAACACGCGGGCTGGAAGGGAGGATGCTGGCTCCTCAGCACAGGCTGTGAGTGACAAGCAAATCGTGAAGGACCTTCCTAGATATGCTCTGCGGAGGCGTTTCAAGGTGTTGGCTGACCTTTCCCTCAGGTTCTCTGCCAATGAATACCAAACATACTTGTTGCAGTGGGCAGAGCAGAGAAAACATTTCCTACAGCTGTGCTGTTCTAAGATGCAAATTGTTGCATTTCCTGTGGACAGTATCAGAAATGTCTTGAAAATTTTCCAGCCCCAATACATAGAGGAGTTGGAACTGTATTCAGGGTGGAACCTTCCCACTTTGGCATGGTTTTCACCATACATGGGCCAGATGAGGAATCTTCACAAACTCTTCCTTGCATCGATCCAGAAGATTAAGGTTGAAAATATTTCCACAGACTTAGAGAAGTGTGTCACCAGGTTCATTTCTCAGTTCTCAAAATTTAACAGTCTCCAGCATCTCTACATGAACGGAATATACTTCCTCAGTCACCGCATGAAACAGTTGTTCAGGTAAGTAAGGGTGGAGAGTTGTCTCTGCAGACCAGAATAAAACTTTCTCTTTAAATAAAAGATTAGTGGGCACCTGATGTTACTGGCCACTGTGGGATTATCAGTGAGGTAGCCATTAGAATATATAAACAAGAATATCTAAGCATGGTCTTGCTTCCATTTTAACCAAATCAAAGTTTTACATTATACTCATGAAGCAGAGGGCTGAACTGGGGTAGGAAATATATAAAGATCTACTAAGATAGGAATCTTTATATGTGGGACTGATGTCACGAGCTTGGGGTGTGACTCCTTGGTAGATTCCTATCCAGTACAATAGGCAGGGAGTAGGAAAGTGAGGAAGGAACTGAAGTAAGGGAGGACTCGCATCTGCACAGTTGCCCAGGTGAGTTCTGTGCTCAGCAGCTGTGTGAAGCTTCTAAATTCTCATATGTGAAGAGCTGTTTGGGGCCCAGGTTAGAGCTAGAGTAGATGAGAATATGTGACACTAGGGCTAAATGTGAGGGGCAGGTAAAGTACTATGTCTTGGAGAGACCAGGAACCAATAATCTCTGCAGGTTTCCTGAGATGTTGTTAGATCTTTCCTGAGTTGGTCCTTCCAGTGTGTGCTCTCCTGGCCAGCACTGGCTTTCTGTTTGACAGTAAGGCCAGGTTCTTCACAGCTCTGGACCAGCCAGTCCAACAATGATGGTAACAGGCCTCTGCCTAGAAGGGTGTGACTTGAGTGAACACATTGTAATATGCAGCTATGCAGCGTCTTGGGTATTGACCTCTATTGTAGTCAGACTGACCTTGGAACCTGTGGTCTGCTCTACCTTGCTATCAGTCTGACCACTATACTCTCTACCACTATTTGCTATAACAAACCTCTTCTCTCCCTAGGTGCCTGAAATCCCCCTTGGAGACCCTTTCCATGACTGACTGCGTTCTTTCACAGTGTGACTTGAATTCCCTGTGTCAGTATCAGAGTCTCTGTCAGCTCAAGCACCTGAATGTGAGTAGTGTTGAATTATTTGATTTACACCTTACAGATCTGCGAGTTTTTCTAGAGAGTGTTATAGAAACCCTGCAGACCCTGGAATTGGAGCACTGCGGGATGAGAGACTCTCAGCTCAGTGCCCTCCTGCCTGCCCTCAGCCAATGCTCCCAGCTCACCAAGGTCAATTTCTATGACAATGACATCTCCATGCCCATGCTGAAAGATCTTTTCCACCACACAGCCAACCTAAGCCAGTTGACGCTGGAGCTGTACCCTGCCCCTCTGGAGTGCTTTGATGACATGGGTGTTGTCCTCCCAGAGAGGTTTTCGCTAGTTTGTTCCCAGCTCATGGATGCACTGAGAGCTGTAAGGCAGCCCAAGAAGGTCTCCTTTGCTACGTATTTCTGCCATGAGTGTTGTTCACGCTCTATCTACGACCTCGAGACCAGCCTCTGTCCTTGTTGGCAGTAAATAGGGAAATGTTACTTCTGGATACTGAGAAATGAGAGCCTAGGTACAGGCCTGTCATCAAGGGGCCCAGAGCACATGTTCAGTGTGTTAGGAATGATGATGAGATGGGTTCAGATTGCAGTGACTGAGGCCAACATTGAAGAACAATGGGACCATGGGAAATGTGGATTTCAAGTCTGAATTTCTACTTGTGGATTCTCAGTCAGAAAGGGAACTATGTGGCTGGAGTGATGGCTCAGCAGATAAGAGCACTGACTGCACTTGTAGAGGACCTGGGTTCGACTCCCAGCACCCACATGGTGGCCAACAACTCCAGTTTCAGGTGATCTGCTGCCCTCTTCTCACCTCGGGTATTGCATGGCATGTGCACTTACACACATGCAGGCAGTACACTCAAACGGGGCATAAAACAAAAAAGAATAAATAAATTTTTTTTTAAAAAAGAAATGGAACTATAAATTTCTCAGTGTGACTGCTGGAAGTGCTGGTTAATGAGGGGCTTTCCCAGAATAGTTGTAAAGTAATATATGACTCAGATTCTAGATGCTCACCTCTGAAGTCCTCAATCATTGACCTGTTCAACTGGTTTCCAGGTTTAAGGTCAGGAAAGTTCTATGACTTTAGGAGAGGAAAGACTGCACTGTTTAAACAATAAATCTAGAGTCTGAAACTCAAGAACTCTATTAAAATAATTTAGAGTCATTTTGATATCCTTCTTTTCTCTGGTGGCCTGGGCATCTGTTAGATCCCATTTGTGTGGCTGTCCAGTGGCTTTTGTGCATAGAATTGTCTAGCATGAACAATGTATACCCCCAGCCCCCATGAAGGTGGTTTTTGAGAATGGCTGGGGATTATAACCCAGGATACTCAGGCCTCGGAGGCATTACGGACACATCAAAAACAGCTGAAGCAAAAGAAAAGATGGAGGGGAATGGGTTCTAAGCAACCCTTCCTTCCTTCCTTCCTTCCTTCCTTCCTTCCTTCCTTCCTTCCTTCCTCCCTCCCTTCCTTCCTTCCTTCCTTCCTTCCTTCCTTCCTATCTTTTTGAGACAGGGTCTCCCTTCCCTGTAGCCCTAGCTGGCCTCAGTCTCACAGAGATCCACCTGCCTCTGCTTCCTGAGTGCTGGGATTAAAGGTGTGTACCACCACACCCAGTTCTTTTTCTTTTTAAAATTGATGGTCTCATGATCTGAGACTGAACTTGAATCACACTATTTTTTATTCTTCATTTATATGTTTAGTAAAAATATAATCATCCTGTGCTTAAACATCATTGGATGTTTACTGTTTACAGTGTACTGACTTCCTGAAAATGTGGTTGACTAATTATGAAGGACTTTCCAACAAGTATATTTTGGACAGAATTAAAAATATGAACTGAGCCGGGCATGGTGGTGCACGCCTGTAGTCCCAGCACTTGGGAGGCAGAGGCAGGCAGATTTCAATGAGTTCAAGGCCAGCCTGGTCTACATAGTGAGTTCCAGGACAGCTGGGGCTACAGGGAGACCCTGTCTCTGCCCCCCCCCCCAAAAAAAATGAAGGGACTAGAGAGATGGCTTAGTGTGTAAACTGCTTGCCATGCAAGTTGAGGACCAGAGTTCAGATCCCCAGAAACCCATGTAACTGTCAGGTAGGCATGGAGACCCACCTGTAATTCCACCCTGTTAGGTGGAGACATGGAATCCCCAGAGTGCATGGGCGTGCTCTGAGTTTGAGAGACCTGACTCATTGAGTAAGGTAGAAAAATCATTGAGGATGATTCCTGACATCAACCTCATGTCTCCACATGCACATATACATACGTACACTCATGCACATGTGGGCCCACACATATGCAAGCATATTCACACACACTAAATTAAAAAAAAATAGAAAAAACATGAACTGAGGTGACTGCCAAGGCAGTCACACAATGCCCTTTCTAATGAGCCATTGGTAGACATTGACATGATTTACATCACATCAACACTCTGAGGCTGAATTCATAGGTATAAGGTCACACCATGACTACAAGATACTGAAATGGCAAAACGGACTCCATTTTGTTCTTGCTGACTGTTGCTTTATCTTATGTTTTTCCCCAGCCCCTCTCACTGCAGCCAGCCAGCCATGAAGGCTGCACTTATAGTTTCAGGGGGTGCATTGTTTCTGCACTACTAGGAAACTTCCAACTAGCCAGGTGGCACGTCCAGGTAGCTCGTCCTCCCGCCCAGCTATACCTGCTTCTCTGTGGAGCCCATTATCACTGCAATACTGAGAGACTTGATTTCCTAACTGAAACTTTCTGTTAACTGAAAATGTCTTTGTTAACTGACCTGCCTTTGGTCTGGTGTACCTACCTATGGGGATCTATTGTAACCATAGCTATTGGCTTTCCCCCTGGCATTATGTAATTGTGGTTTTAAGCCCTACAAATTCTCCTTGGAGTTGAGAGTTCTTTTGGGTATTAGTTCTCTGACCCCCAGCCTCTTTGCCAGCTAAAAAGGATTCCTGATTTGACCACCACTATGTGTGGCATTCCTCTGTACCTTACATTCTGTATTACAATATTTGCTCATATTTCTTGAAGAGTTTAAATATTAGCTAGGATGGTCATTTCCCATAGCCCAACTTTCTTCTCACTAGTAGAATATGTTCTAAATTCATTCAACCAGAGTTTTGTTTTTTTGTCTTTTTGAGGCAAGGTCTCCCTGTAGCCCCAGGTGTCCTGGAACTCACTATGTAGTCCAGGCTGACCTCAAACTCACAAGGATGACCTGCCTTTGCTTCCCAAGTGCTGGGATTAAAGGCGTGTACCACCACCCCAGGTTTCAACCAGAGTCTTAACTTCATTTGCAGAGTGTAAGAGACACTGTAACAAGGTTCTTCATGCCATGCTTTAAATGTGAGATCATGCCTATACTGTCATACCTGGCAAATGCTGGTTCCCTACAGATGTCTTTTCTCCCTTTCTTTTCTGTCTTTTTTTTTTTTTTTTTTTTTTTTTGGGATGGGGCCTCCCTGTAGCCCCAGCTGTCCCAGAACTCACTATGTAGACTAGGGTGGCCTTGAACTCACAGAGATCTGCCGTGCCTCTGCCTCCCGAGTGCTGGGATGAAAGGCGTGCACCACCACTCCTGGCTCTCCCTTCCTCTTTATAATCTTTCTGCCTCCTGTTTCATGATGTGATAAGGTCTCATATAACCCATATTGGCCTCAAACTTACTATGTCACCACGTCCTCTCTTGGACTTCTGATACTCAGGATAGAGGATATAGCTAAGTTGATTTAGTGCTTGCCTGCATGAGGCCGTGGGATCTGTCTTGAGCAGGGAATAAAACCATGCGTGTTGGCACAAGCCCATTAATAGGTAACTTTATTTATGGTCAAGGGTTACTTTAAACTTCTGATTTTCCTAACTCCATCTCCTTATTACTGGAATTATAGGCATGGTTTATGTGATGCTGGAAATGTTAGGCAAGCACTTTACCAGCTGAGCATCATTTGAAGCAAGTAACTTTTTGATATAGAGCTCAGTGATCTTTTCTTAGGAAATTATCTGACTGGGCTGTTGAGATGGCTTAGTGGGTAAAGCTGTTTGACACCAAGGATGAGGACTTCAATTTGATCCCTGGGACCCACATGTTGGAAGAAGAGGACCTATTCCCACAAATTTTCCTCTTAAGTTCCACACCTGTGCCATCAGGCACACAAGTGTACAGACACACACAAATGAAATAAAAGCACTATCTTCAGAAGGTTATTTATTTTCTGGTCTTTTTGAGACAGGGTCTCCCTGTAGCCCTACCTGGCCTCTGGCCTGGAACTCACTATGTAGAACAGACTGGCCTTGAACTCACAGAGATCCACCTGTCTCTGCTGCCTGAGTGCTGGGATTAAGGCATGTGCCATATACCCAGCTTGAAAGTTATTTTAAATTGGTCATGGTGGCACATGCCTTTAATCCCAGAAATCAGTAGATAGTGGCAGATGTAACTCTGTGACATCAAGACCAGCCTGGTCTACATAGCCAGTTCCAGGCTGGCTGGAGCTATAGGGAGATCTTGTCACAAAAAACAATTGAACAAACAAAAACCTATTTAAATCTATACAATATAGTGCATCTTGGTAGCCCAAGAAATTATCCTTGCAGGTCTATTTCCAAGATCTTTCTGTGTAAGATGAGTAGCACACCAAGATTTTTCCCTGTTCCCTGCTCTTATGCTGTGGCCACGTATGAGTAACTCAGTCATCGCTAATGGACCGAGTTAATTAATGAGCTCCTGGCTTCATCCTATCTCTGATTCCTGCCATTTCTAGATAGCATGATGCAATCAATCCCCTGGACCATCCAGAACTTCATCAAAATGAGCTCCGTGGGGATCTAGGTATTTGATTAGCCATCCACAAGGACTGGAAGCCAGTGCTTACCAAGAGATGTGAATTCCACAGCCCCAGTGCTAGGTGTCAGTTATGTTTCACCGCCAACATCCTTTCATGGGAAATAAAGTCAGAAACTAGTGGCCGGGAGGTGGTAGTTCCCTACCACTGCATAAACTACTGTACAGGGGTAGTGGGCTTGGCACAGCATGAGACAGCAAGGCATCATTCATTCACTCATTTGAGAGGAAGTTTGGTACAAGAGCAAGACAGTGAAGAGGTGAGCCCAGGCCTGTGGCCCTCACGGATGTGCTCTCTATGCTACAAGTTCCTAAGTTATTTTAGTCTTTATTCACAAGTATTTATTCATCATTTATTTTTTTGGTGCTGGAGCTCAGACTCAGGGCCTCTGGGATGCTAGGCAAGCACTCTTCCATAGAACTACAATCCCAACTCAAACTTGCTATTCAATGGTGAATTCTCTCAGGGAAGAGATTGAATGAATATATTCATAATGGGAATTTATTAATCAGCTTGAAAAAGTAACAGCGGCAGAATCATGCCTGAGAGACTAAGAACTCCAGTTGGACTAGTCCCACAATGGCTTTCCCACACTGGAGAGGCCGAGAACCTGGTAGTTA